TCGAGTACAAGACTACTCAGAGGTTTCCTTGAAGCACATGATCTATGTCTTCCCAGCACAAGTGATATCCACGAGGGGTCCAGAACTACCCGGGTTTCCGCCGATGGTAACAACGAGCATTGCATCGACTTCATCGCAATCCCAGCAACCTTACAAGAACGATGCACGCTGGCGCAAGCGGTTCCTGAGCTCGATCTGGGACATGGAGATTGGGACCACACAACCACCTGCCTAGAGATGACATGGATGAAACGCATTTCTCTAGAGAACCTGTCTCGAGAGCAAGACCATCCTTCGACCCCCCACCAGGTCTCAAGGTCAAGCAGATCCTTTGCGACTATCACCCAGCTCCATGGCAGGCTGATGTAGAGCGGGATGTGCAACATTTCAACGACCATGTTCTTCAAGGTCTACATCAATACTGCCCTAAACGCTGCAATGAGCCCAAGAAGAAGTTCATTGACACAGCGACATGGGAGTTAAGAAGAAACAAGTTGAAGCTCAAGAAACGGCTGCAAGCTTTGCGGTTGCGATGTCGAGATGAAGCCAAACTTGTCTGCTTTCAAGCATGGAGATCCAGTACGACATCTTCATCATCTACGTGGAGTCCTGATGCAGAGCTTGCATGGAACTATGGCAACAGCATGCTTTGTCACAGCTTGCGACTGACAGCACAGCTTCATCAGGTTGCCCACTCCCTCAAAGGCTCCCTCAAAGATGCGAAAAGAAAAGAGATCAAAGAAGTTTTCGAAGACTTGGATCCCAAGGCCTCAGCCTCGCAGATCCTTCATACCATCCGACCCATCGTGGGGCCAACGAACCTCAAGAAGTTGAAGACCAACACTCTGCCTTATCTTCGTAGACCAGACGGAGAGATCTGTACTCTTCTCACCGAGGCCTTAGAGGTTTGGATCTCCTTCTTCAAGGACATGGAAGGGGTTGAAAGGATCACGGCAGCGCAGCAACGCAAGCTTTGGTGCTCCAGCCTTGCGGATCTTCAGCAAACCTCCTTGGGTCTCAATGCTCAAGATTTACCTTGACTATGTGATCTTGTGCCGGCCTTGCGGCGCATCAACCCCTTGAAAGCGACAGGGCCTGATCGCATGCATCCCTCCTTTTGCAAGACAGCGCCCCATTGCTTAGCAAGGGAAATATTTGGCCAGATGCCCAAGATTGTGACGCACGGCCAGGAGTACCTGGGGCATATAGGTGGCTTTCTTCAGCCACTTTGGAAAGCCAAGGGCTCCAGAGAGGATCCCTCGTCATACAGAAGTATCCTCATCTCAAGCCACATTGCAAAAACTTTGCACCGCACCATCAGGGAGTCCCAATGTTCCCTCTGCGGGGGGTTTCTTCAACGAGAACAACTCGGAGGGCGCAAGCGAGTCCCCGTCAATTTGGGCGTGCACATGAGCTGCGCTTTTCTACGTGCTCATCGAATAGCTGGAGACAGTGTGGGCATGATCTATTTGGACCTGAAGGAGGCCTTCTACAGGATCATTCCTCAGTTGGCGATAGGAGGTGAGGTTTCCGACCCATTGCTGGCCAAGGTATGTGCTTGCTTTGGGCTTCCTGATGACGTGCTGCACGATCTTCATCGACACTTGTCATGTCCAGCAGCCATCGCTGATGGTCAACTGCCGGTGCATGCGAGAAATGCAGTCCAGGCTCTGCATGTCGACACTTATTTTCAAGTGAAAGGGCAGCGCGACTATTGTCGCACAGAGCTTGGGGGCGCGCCCAGGAGATTGTTACGCCGATGTCATCTTCTCCTACCTTTGGTGTCGCATTTTGAAGCTTCTACAAGGTGAACTCCAACGACTACAATTGGGAGAGGAGATCAATGAAGATGGAGGCTTGCACATTTGTGCGGACCGTCATGTTCCATGTCCGCTTCGTCCCTTCCTGGGACCGACGGGGATGGATGATGCGTGTATATGTGTATCCTCTGAGACGGCCTTGGGAGTAGAACACAAAACTACTCATGCTGCGGGGCTGCTCCTACAGTTCTGTGAGCAGCATGCGCTCCCTCCCAATCTGCAGCGCGGAAAGACCGAGATTCTCTTCGCGTTTCAAGGAGCTGAGAGTCGCAAGTTGAAGAAGAAGTATTTTGGTCCCACTCACTTCGGATCATTGTCTATGGATCATGGGTGAACATGGGCTCAAAAAGATCCAAGCGGTCAGCCGATATGCCCACCTTGGATGCATGATGCACTACAAAAGGTGACAACAGACATGAATCCCGCAAACGCATTGCGGTCGCTCAGCAATCCTTCACGCAGCATAAAAGGTATCTTCTACGCAATCCCCAGTTGAGTCTGCAGAGGAGACGTGAGATTTTCCACAGCTTGGTGATGAGTCGACTATGCTATGGAGCAGAGTCCTGGACGCTGAACGATCAGAAAACCAAGGACTATATATACATCCATGGTGCCTTGATTCGACTTTTTAGCAGACTTTTACCAGGGCCACTTAATCAACATCAAACTGACGTTCAGGTCCTATCTGAGACGGGCATGAACTCCCCCTCCGAAGTCTTGAGATTGGCGAGGCTCCGCTACGTGGGGACGCTCTTTCATTGTCAGCATTTTGTGCCATGGGGATTGATCAACTCAGACCACGAATGGCAGATTTTGATTGAAGATGATTTTCGCTGGTTATGGACGCAGTTGCAAGGCTGCTGCAGCCTGCCTGACCCTGATGTGAACTTCAGCGCCTGGCGCAACATCGTCCAGAACCATCGTTAGTATTGGAGAAGATTGGTCCGAAGAGCTAGGGCAGACAACGCAGAAATTCTGAACTAGTTTGCGCCTTTCACCAACAGTTCCTCAGGGCCATCAGGGAGGTAAAGTCTGAGATTGCAGAAGAGACTGAGCACAAGGAGCACATGGTTCCCATTGCTGCCGCTACGGAGATTCACCCATGCATGCAGTGCAGGCAAACCTTCAGATCCAAAGGAGGACTTGGAGGTCACAACTTCAAAAAGCGTCAGCAGGTCTCGGCAGTGCGCATCTTGTTCAACACCACAAGTTGCGGAGTTTGCCTAAAGGAAAATCACACAATGACCAAGTTAAAGAGCCATCTTCTGCGAGCCTCTGCTTGTAGGCGCACTCTTTTAGGACGGTGCCTCAGCGTTGAGCCGGCTCCAGGAGCTGGTTCTACAATCGATACCGCCAGGGCACGGGCTCATGATGGCATACTCCCACCATTACAAGGAGCTGGACCTGCACTTCCACCAGATCGCATGGACGAGATCGACCCGTACGATCTGGCGCTTATGGAAGAGATCTACCTCGCTCTGGTTAATGACGAAAGCCTGCTGCTAAGTGAGGAGCTTGTGAGAAAGGTCATTGAGCAGACTCCAGTCTCTTGGGGTTGCTGTCGGGAGACCTTGATCCACATGGAGAAGGAAGTGACAGAGGAGGATATAGCCGTGTTGGCTGAGCACCGAAGAGACTTGCGACAGACCTTACAGCACCTCCAGCATCCTGAAGCATGGCACTTCTTGCGAGACGCGAAGATAGCAGGAGATTGTCCACGTCGAGATCTTCCCTTCATGGAAAATGTTTTGGAGCAGCGCATGAAGGACTGCCACGACCCGAGCTGGCCGGTGCACAGGCCCATGGCAAAAGTGCGATTCTGATCCATGCCTTCTCGGGCAGGGGCCAGGAGATGTACAGTTTTTCCTCGATGCCCTGCAGCCGAAACAGGAGGGCAATATTCACGGTATCGCTGGATATCATCATTGACGAAGAGTTCGGCGACGTGTCACGTGAATCTGTTCGGGCATTTAGGCTTTGGGGAGTACGTGAACGTGCAGTGATCGGGGTCCTTGCATCCCTGCGAAACGTGGTCCCAGGTGCGGGGTAAAAGTTTCCAAACCTCACCCGAAACTTTGCATCGCAAAGCTCCACGGGTGATTAGGGATCGAGATTGTCTATGGGGTCGAGCTTCTCTAGCGCTTCGTGAACTGGAGCAGATCCCACGGGCAATTTACTCCTCCTCTTCACCATCGAGCTCCTCATACATCTAGCAGTGCAAGGAGGAGTGTGGGCGATGGAACACCCCGCTATGCCCAAGGCAAGTGTTTGGCACTTGGTTATCCTCAGGTACTTGTGCACCTGGCCCGAATTCATCCACGTGGAACTGGCGCAAGGACTTTGGGGAGCTGTGAGCCCTAAGCCGACTGGGCTTTTGCTGCTCAATCTCCCTCGATGCCAGGGATTCTTCGTCGGTTCAAGCCTTCCTACGGCAAAGGTTATAGGACGCAATGAGGACGGGTCCTGGCGGACCCCACAATTAAAAGAATACCCCCCCGGCCCTATGTGCAGGCTTGGCCGAGGGTTTTTTTGATGCAGTCAATCAACACGAGATTGACTCTTCGCTGACTGTGGACTGCGACTTCAGAAGGCAGGCGCTGAAACTCACGATTTCAGCATATGGAGCCAGTATAGGCCCTGATTTTGCAGGACACAGTTGAGCTTTTTCACATGTTTGCCCAATTCGAATTTGAGACTTTGCAATGGCTGCAGCGCAAGCTACAGGTTGCCAAGAGCAAAAAATATTTATGTATGATGTATATTTTAAAATAACACATAATATGTATATGTATGCGTGTGTGTATATATATATGTATGTATGATGTTTATAACGCAATACATGTACATATATATCATTTGTGTATATGCATGCGTATATATTTAAATGTATATATGTATTCTAATTATAGAACTTCCCCTGGGACGATAGTTCGATGATCTTTCGGGCATAATTATTGGGTTTTCCAATTTTTTCTATCTATTTTGGGGTTGCTGAAATATATTGTATATATATATATACACATAATGCTTCATGTTATGGCCAGACACTGGGGAAGGATGATGGAACATGAATAAACATGACGTGTTAAGTCACGCCCTTCCAAATATGACGTGCATTTTTTCAGGGGAAAAACGCCCATGGACGCACGGCTGAGTTTCCATTGCCAGATTGGATTCGAGGTGACTACCGCCTGGAGTCCTCGACGATGGCCAAGTACGAGGAAGATGAACACTCAGTTGGTGGCCACTACCTGAGATCTGCCGTCCCACTGACTGAGTCTGACTGTTGTGGATTCGTAGGTGGGTCATACTGAGGTTACAGAGCGGATGACATTCACTCTGTGGGTGTCGGTTTCTCTGGCGTGCAGTCAGATGACAAACATAGCGGACACGGCGGACACTCCGATTCCGGCGGACATTCCGGCGGCTCCGGGGGGTCCCATGACTCGCATTCCGCTGACTCTCATGCAGCCGAATCTCATGCGGGTGGCTCTCATGCAGCCGAATCTCATGCGGGTGGCTCTCATGCAGCCGAATCTCATGCGGGTGGCTCTCATGAAGAAGGCAGGGATGTGCTGTATGTGGCAGGGATATGTCCTGGCTTTAAATTCCTATCTCCACTACTTGGAGCTCAGGCGGACATCGACGCTTGCAAGGCACAGGAGCTGTTGACATAGACTTCATGCTGCTGCTTTAGGGTTGATTCTTCCACACATCCTCGTGTAAATCCTTGCAAATGATGCAGACAATAGCTTCCCTAGAAGAATGGCAATTGAGAGCAGGCAGCTGGATTTGGTAAAAAGTTGGAGCGTGCCACAGGTTCAGATGGTCAACTTTTGCGTGATTTGCTGAAAGCTGCTGATGGCATTGACTGGTTGCAAGACTCACTTGCGCAGCTTGAGGCAGTTTCACCACTGTGGCAACTAAGACATCAGTTGTTTGGCGCCAACAAAATGAAGCCTTATAGAACTACAGTGACTATAGCATCAATGATCAGTGACAAATTCAGTACATTCTTTTTTTCGGTTCCAGATTGGATCTGAGGGGTCTGGTCAAAATTTGAGTTCCAAAACAACAGATTGTGGTCGTGTTTGATTACGAAACTGCATCATTTTTTGGGGGTCACGGGGTCACCGGTCTTTCTGATATCATTTGATCCCCATCTTTTGTTGCTGAAATGGACATCCATTTCTTGTTTTAAAATTCAACATGTTGTTCCTTTCCTTTCATTCAATTGTTTCTGTTGCTATACATCATGTTGTCACTTGTCTTAGCTTTTCATCCCAGCCTGGTTGGTCAAATCCCGTATTTCTCACTTTCTACAGGCTCACGCCGCGCCATTGTACGACCTGGCCCCTGCACCGGCGGCACCTCCTTTTATGGCACCCACCGCGCCCAAGGCTAAGAAGGTGGAATCCCTAAGCTGACCGTGTGGGGATAGCTGGGATAGCTGGAAATATGAGAAATCACAAAATGGATGGTTTTAGAATCTTAGAACATATCAGACTGTTTTAGACAGAGAATGAGTCAATGTTTGTCCCAATTTTGACCTATACCCCCATACCCATCTTGGATTGTTTCGTGACGTAAGCATTTTTCTGTTTGAAGATGAGACACGATTGCTTTCCACCTTTTTTTCTCTGTCAAGGATTCTTAAAAATAACTCTTGTTCGAACCCTGAACCATCTGGAATGGCTTGGCTTGCCATCATGATGGGCATGGAAGCAAAGTGGCATAAAAGTAACAGCCTAGGTGTTGCTAACTAGACTGCTAAGCTGTAGTCTTGTGTCCCGGGTCTTGAAATGATGCTGGTGCTAGCGATGATTCTTGTTCCAACCTTTCTTATATTAAACTGGAGATTCTCACGTCGAAGTGCAGGTGTCTTGGCCGTCATTGTTTGAACCACAGCATCTTCTTTGCAGGCATTCGTTGCGGGATGGCCAACAGTCAGCCATGAAGCTGAGAAGCGCTGAGAAACATGAAGTCATTGGGGGTAACTGTGAGCCCATCCATTCTTGGTTGGATTAAGCCATTTTTGGGAGGAAATTTTGACACTGAACACCCAACGACCCTACCAAAATCTACCAAACACGGTCAGGGGCGCTGAGCTCATTGCTTTGACGCCCCGTGGATATGGCGCGCACGTTTCAGAGCTTGCGGATGAGGAGGCCCCTGGCTTTGTTTGAGGTACAGAAACCATGGCGTGCAACAATCATGTTCTCCCTTCTCACAGGCAATTTGTGGACGTTTGAACCCTTAAAAGACCCAAAAAGTCGGCATCATCAGGTGGAAGCCAAAGCCTTCGCCATTCAGGGCTTGGAAGCGTTCCATGCCATTGCTGGTGGACATTGGGAGAAGGGCCTGCAACTCATCACCAAGGCAGGGCTGGGGGTTGGGCTCAGCACCGATACCCTGTGGACATCGCAGTGTGAACTCCTCAGTTTCGCAAAAAAATCTGCCAGCGAGGCCGGACAACTCCTTGAGTGTCCCGGGACAGGTCCTGAACAAGGCGCTGTGTCTTGCGGTGCTGAACATTTGTGTCGGGGGGGGGATGAATATCTGTTCATGCTCCAGTTTGGTGTTCACCATGGTAGCAGAGTTTTGTTCTTTTTTTCAATTCATCAGTTTTGTCACGTTGACTCATGGAGTTTGGCAGGACGATGGCATTGCAAGTCGTCCTCAATGAAGCTTCCACTCCCAGAGGGAACGCAATTGCATGCGGCAGCGATCACTGAACATGCGGAGGCACCAAATCTGGTGGTTTCAGGGGATGAACCCAGTTCACCAACGATTTTTTGGGCCCGGGGCCCAACCACCATGATTTTGGGGTGGGGGCTCAACCAGGAGTCTTCTCCCAGCCGCACGGTGGCTTTGCTCTTTGAGAACCTGCCGCAGATCATTTCCCTTTTCAAAGAGGGCCCCTCTGGTTGGACCTCAGCTGGAGAGGCAATTGCTGCCCAGATTTGCTGTACAACAAGTACTTGGTTTTGAGATGTTTTGGTTTTGAGTTTGAGGCTCTTTGCAACTCAAGAACCTTTTTCTTAAAGATGTATCTTGATTGTCTTGATTCACTGGACTCTTATCGCAAGTTCTGTGCAGGTGCACCTGCCAGAGGCGGGGACGAGCTTGTCATTCTTCGGTGAGGACCCGCAGAGTCGAGCCTCAAACAAAACCCAGTTTTTTTCCCCCAGCATGCCATGGTTCTGAAAATCAATTTTGCCATGTTTTACTGACCGTGAACCCGTCACACCTTGACAGGAGCTCCTTGCCCTTCTTAGCAACGGTTCCGTGATGCGTCGCCATGTCCGTGAAGGCGCCGGAATAACGATGTTGCTTTTTGAATCGTGGGAGTTGAAAGTCTGATGGTTTGGTCTGTATACTGTATATATATATATATGTATATACACATATAGGTACAATTGTGTACACATACAATTATACAGTGACATGTGATGACAATGTCGTATATTGTCATCTTGATTCTGTTCTTGCGCTCAGACACTCGTTTGAGGCAGCAACAAGTGGCATGCAGCTCCACCAGCAGCACAACTTCCCAGAGAGCATCACGCAGCATGCGCAAAGGACACAGCTGTCAATCCATGAGACCAGTGACCAGTCATCCCCAGAAACAAAGTCTGTGAATCCACATAGTAGCAGGGAGACTTTCCATTTCTGTCTTTTGGGACACTTCTGAAAACCTATTATAAACATCCTATTCTTTTCAAAACCGAGGTATTATATATATACATAATATCAATATCAGAAACATCACTAAACATCAGTTAAATATGTCATAGTCATCCTATAAGCATCCTATAATCATCGTTTCTAACAGCCTATTATGCGTATCATGTCCCATATGGAGTACTCCGCAGGATGTGGGTGGTCTCCTCCGACTCGCTCTTCGACAGGCCGCACCAAAGGTTGAGGCGCGACAGCAGTGTTCATCCGAAAAACTTCGTGGCAGTATACTTCAAAATCGGTAAATCATCTTTCCAACATAATATACATTCATCATCTTCGAAATTAGGTCTTCTAATCTGTTGGAGAAAAAGCACAACTTCTTTCCCAAACTTGAAAGTGTGACAGGCTTGGATGGCTGAGTTGACCAGTGAGTGAAGATGGTCGCAGTGGTTGACCCAGAGGACCAATAGAGCTTTTCCGTTGCGGATGTTATTCCAGGATTCCACTCGGTGCAATTCATTTAATAGACCTTGGTGTGAAATGATGGTTGATTCTTTTACGGAACTCTGTTTAGTTTCAATCAGCCGATGTTTGGCATTGCAAGCTTTCGAGGCCGAGAAAGGCTTTTGGGCAACACACACATATCCAAAGATATCCAAAAACATCTAAATCAACCTACACAACTTTCAAACAAAATACAGGTTGGGGCATTGTCTTGGCCTATATATATATAATTACTTATTGACGGAGTTGCCCATACAAATTGGCTTCGATGGAGCCTTGCGCCTTGTGCAAGATTTGCTCCAATGTCTTGGTTGAGAGAAGTCCAACTCATGGGTATATATGGATATATATCTATATAAAGACACTGCCTGATCGATGATCAGTTATTGTTTTTTCTCTGTGCATTTGACGCAATGGATTCCAGTTGTACACGCCCCCTCTTGCACTTTCAAGAATGATGACTTCAAGTGAGAAAGAAAGATAGCACAGCGTGAACTGTACCTGTTCTTGTGGCCAGAAGTCCGCTGATGGCAGAGTGTGCTGCACGATAGAGAAAACAAGAGCAAAAGATGCAGGCACACATTATACTTAGGATAGGTTTTTCACGAGTCAATCTGTACAATTCCCTTGATAGACTGCAGATTGTTTCATGTTGATGGACCCAGTGAAAGCAACGCGGACGTGGCTGCAATTCCTTTGAGAGAATGAGCTCTCCCTCTTTAAGGGAGGTGCTGTCACCTGCTACAGGGTCAGCCTTCCTATCCCTGGAAAGGCAAACATAGCATGCCGTCCAGGACATAGGATGCAATTCTCGACCAGACAATTGCTTACTGAGAAAGAAAAGTCCGGCTGGTTGTCCCTGTCTTCGAAACCACGGTTTCTGATATTTTTGGCGCGTTCTCCAGTTTTTTTTATTCACTATATATGAGTTATCATTATCCATTATCTATTAATCATAAGTATCCAGGTTTTCCAGTGTATATACATATATATATAATATATACATATATTATATATATATATATATTTATTGGTGCATATTAAATTGATTATGAATGGAATCCCGTTCTTAATCAACCAGTGCTGATTTCCATACAGCAACTGCTCCGCATGTGCTCCAGGTTCCTTCCCAGTCAGCTCCCCACGTGGAGTACGAGGAACAAGACCTTGAAACAGAGCCACTGGTCGCAACAGTTCACTGAGTTCCACTGAAATCCACTTTGCTCGCACTGAAATCCTGCGTCCATCTGAGGTATGTGGAGCGCATTGTGGAGGTTCCAAGGGTTCGCGTGGACCATGTGGAGAAGGTCATCGAGGCGCAACCTAATCTGGTATGGGACCAACAGAGAAAGGGACTTAACCAACAAGCATGGGTTTACAACTGGCTGAATGCTGCCATCACATTTTTTTCGGGAACTAGCTTGGATATTTATCCATGACCACTGAGGATCCGTAGCTTTTAAGCATTTGCGCCAGGTGCCAGAAATCCACATGGTCGACAGGATCATCGAAGTTCCACAAGTTCAAGATATAGCAACTTGGCTGCATGTGGCCAGCGCAGCTGATCAGCTGAACAAAATTTCTGCTAGCCTGCCACCTTCCGCATGATTCTAGGTTTACGACACGGGTTCTGGAGCAGGCTGTGGTCTTTGCACTGCTTTGCTGCATTTTTTGAAAACATTGTCATTTTCATATTTCAGAACCTTGGTTCATTTCTTTAGGTGGTGCCTATGGAGGCTCTGGCTACGGTGGTCCTGGTGGAGGCTTTGGCCCGGGTGGAGGATACGGAGGTAGTGATGGCTTTGGAGGGTCTGGAGGCTGTGGAGGTTGTGGAGGGTCCGGCTTCGGTGGCTTCGGTGGCTTCGGATCTGGCTTTGGACCGGGTGGAGGGCCCGGTGGCTACGGCTCCGGCTATGGTGGACCGGGAGGCGGTCCGGATGGTGCTGGCGGCTGTGGCGGTCCAGGAGGTGCTGGCTATGGCTATGGCTATGGGGGATGCGGTGGACCCGGCAGCATCGCCTTTGGAGGGGGGGCCATGGATCTGGGGTCATCAGCTGGAAGATATCCCTTCAAGGGCGAAGGTGGAGAGTTGGATCCTTTCGGCTTCGGTGGAAGAGGGGCCAACGGCTATGGAGGTGGACCAGGTGGAGCCAATGGCTATGGACCTGGTGGAGGATATGGACCAGGTGGAGTCAATGGCTATGGACCTGGTGGTGCTAGTGGCTATGGACCCGGTGGATGTGGATATGGAGATGGATCTGGACCCAATGGCGGTGGTGGTATGGGCGGTATGGGCGGTATGGGCATGGGCTATGGCCCTGGTGGAAGGGGTGGCAAGGGTCAGAGCCCGAGTTTCCTTCATACATGCAAAATCGATGATTGTCCCATATTTTCCAATTTTTTAACAATGTGGATTTCCATTGTCAGGCTAGATGACCAGAGCGGAATCAAAGTTGGCTGGTTTTCATCCTCCAGACTTGGACACGTGAGATGTTGGCTGGAGACAGCTCAGGCAAAGGAAAAGGCAACTTGCCAGTCAAAGTCATCACGCGGGAGGCCGCCAAAAACGAGCTGCAAAGAGCAAAGAGAACGAACATAGAAGCGACACACCTGGCAGAGCTTGCAGCCCCCACTATGCAAAGTAGCACAACTAGCCCAGGAGTTTCAACCCGTCCAGAGCTGCATTTCTGCTGTTGCAACAGCTTCTCAGAAGAACTCGGCTTCAGCTGCCGGAGGTTCCAAAGATCGAAGTGAAACAAGTTGAAAAGATTGTAGAGGCGATGACGGAAATGATCAGCTCCTTTCTTTTGGACACATTTTGAGATTTCAATATTGTTCAATTGGGTTGTCTGCCAAGTGAGCACCCCAAAATATCGTGCATCATCATTGTCCATCATTGTGCACAATTGTGCATCATCGTGCATCATTGTCCACCACCACCACCAGCAGCAGCATCATCATCATCATCATCAACAACAACAAGAACAACACTATTTCCATCACCTCCATCACCTTGAAAATTTTCATCATCATTTTTTCCATTGAGGTACGGTAAAACTATCTATCTATCTAATCTATCTAATCTATCTAATCTATCTAATCTATCTAATCTATCTAATCTATCTATCTATCTATCTATCTATCTATCTATCTAATCTATCTGATCTATCTGATGATTCTATCTGATGATTCTATCTGATGAATCTATCTGATTAATCTATCTGATTAATCTAATTAATCTATCTAATCTATCTAATCTATCTATCTAATCTATCTAATTAATCTATCTAATTAATCTATCTAATTAATCTATCTAATTAATCGATCTATTTAATCGATCTAATTAATCCATCTAATTAATCTATCTAATTAATCTATCTAACTAATCTATCTAATCTATCTAATCTATCTAATTAATCTATCTAATTAATCTATCTAATTAATCTATCTAATTAATCTATCTAATTAATCTATCTAATTAATCTATCTAATTAATATATCTAATTAATCTATCTAATTAATCTATCTAATTAGTCGATCTAATGAATCTATCTAATCTATCTAATTAATCTAATTAATCTATCTAATTAATCTATCTAATCTATCTAATTAATCTAATTAATCTATCTGATCTATCTAATTAATCTATCTAATCGATCTAATTAATCTATCTAATTAATCTATCTAATTAATCTATCTATCTATCTATCTATCTCTATCTATCTATCTGTCTGTCTGTCTATCTATCTATCTATCTAGCTAGCTATCTATCTATCTATCTATCTCTATCTCTCATTTTCCATGCGTATCTGCCCTTTTTTCAAAGATAACCCATGGACGACTACGGTGATGTCAGCATGACCTCTGCTCAGATTCCGAACATCGAGTATCAGGACAGGCTTGTGGAAGTGCGCGAGGTGGGGACATGCAGCCTTTGTATCGTATATAGAATAATATGGTGGAAAAATCAGAATGATAATGATAATAGTGATGGTAATAGTAGTAACAGTATTTAATAGTGATGGATATATGAATATCCACCTACATGATATATGTTTATGCATTTATACATGCATGTACACATTTAGAGCTGTAGACATGTTGTTGGCAGGTGCGAGAAGTGGTTCGAAGAGTGCCACGCATCGAAGTTCGCGAGATCCCCATCGAGCGTGTGATCCAGGCATTGCTGCGCTGGAGTTCTCCATGTTTAACTTGAAACTACTGGCATAGATCTGCCTATCTGTTTATCTGTCTATCCAACTATCTATCTATGTCTATTAATCTCTCTATTTACCTATCTATACAGCTATCCCTGTAGACTATGTATATCTATTGCAGTAATCTATGTTTGTATACGGATACCAATATCTATCCACTATCCACATGTCATTGCATAGCATTGTCATCTCCATGGTTGGTAAGTCTTTCTGTCACTGGTAAGTCATCACAGGTGCCGAAGAAGGTGGTTCAAGAAGTGGAGCAACCCGTCTATCGTCCAGTGCCTCACATGGCCATGACCTTAGAAATCTGGCTGGCGCAATCTGGTGCAATCGCTGCAGCTGGGTAGCCTGGGTACGCAAGGTGAAGCAACACGTGGAACGAGAGATCCCGGTGCCAAAGCCATACCTCCAGACCTTGGAGGTGGTCAAGCAGGCCAGGAATGAGACACTTTTGGTGTTTTTTTTTGTGCTTTTCTCTCTTGGGAGTTGCAATAGTAGCCTGATAAACAGTGCACCCTGTCGGTATCTCTCGGAGTCTCGCACATGTGTACTTGGCAGATTCCTTAGTCCCACAACTCTCTAGAGTGAACTCTCAAAGATTGCTGGACCTGAGGTGTCAGTGCCAACAACCGAAGATGGGGTCGTGATTCCGCAGTCAGAAGTGACACCACAAGCTGCAGTTCAGCCTGGGCAGACGTCACCTCCAGCTCAAGGTGCCAGTCCGGGCCAGCCTGTCCTAAGTGCACCTGTGTCCAGAACATACGAGCTTCCTCCAGTGCCAAGTGGTGGCACTCCTGTTGCACCAGACATGCTGGCATGCTTAACGGCATGCTGAAGATCCGCTTCGCGTCGCTGCTGTTTTTTTTGGTGTTTCAGTGAGCTCAATTTTCAGCTGGCGGTCTGAGGGAAACAGCATGCTTTTCCTTGGAAACGAAGCCACACTGTGATGCCAGGGTGGCACTGTGATGTACGGAAGTGGTGTAGTGCAAAGCCAGACTCAAGCGCGGAAGCCAAGACCTGACTTATGGCTTCGAAAGGGGGCATTGCCGCCAAACCTCCACGTGAAGCTGTTTCGGCCACGGACATTGTGTGTAATCTGAGGTCGCTGGTGGGGATTTGTTCAGCAAAATGGACAAAGACGGCAGCGGAGCAATTTCACGTGAGGAGTTTGCACAGGCGCCGTGACGCCGTGGAGTGTTTGGATGCTGCTGAATGTCATATCAAACCACAGCCGCAAGGCCCAGCAAATGGGCATGGCACCCTCCATGAGTGCTGCCAATCCATATGCCACGATGCCGGGACTTCAGAGCAGATTTTGAGGTATTTGGGAACCAGAATAGCTTGCTCATGAACATGTTTGTGCTTTTTCGGACTGAGGGCTGGCCCGGGTGTACCAGCCTTCCTTGCACGCTTGGCATCAAACGAAGCCAAAGCTTGATTCTTGCACCAGAAGCCCAGATTAGTTGCATGTTTGGAGTCTCCAGGTAACTGCATCGCCAACAGGACCCCCACAGAGCGTGCAGCTGGCATGTTTGTGAACTGGTCGGCAAATCTGTGATGTGAATTGATGCGATGCTTTTTACGGTTTTCAGACCAAGAACATCTTTGAACAAAAAAGACCTCTCCCCACCTGGGTTCAATGCTCTGACAGGTCTCTTTGGGTTCGATGGCAATGGGTGCTGGATTTGGTACCGTTCCTCCACAGGCGCATCAGTTATATCGCGGGTCTTGCTGCAATGCACGTGTCGGACATGTTCTTGGATCCAGCCAAAGAAGTTACTGGGGAATTGAGACCTGCTTGGTCAGGCTGGTGGCACTATGATGTGCGACACTTTAGATTGTTGATTTGGGTGTGATCAGACCGGTGTTTGAGAGACAGAATTTCAAAGTTTAAAGGATTGTCTGATGTCTCAATCAAACCAGAGCTTGTGCGGGATCTTTCACCAACCTGTGATGACTTAAGTCTGACAGGTACCAAAGTGTTCCAACGCCGCCACAGCCTGTGGTCGTGGCGCGGGCTGTGGGAAGCTGTCTGTGGAAATCATTTGGAAAGATGCCATGAAGAGAATAAGTTGAGAGCTGTGAGCCCGCCCAGCAGGCACAACGGAGTGTTGGACCTGTAGGCATCATGAACCCCTACGCCACAATGCGGCAGCCTCGAGGAGAGGGTACCAGAGGCTGCAAGTTGCGCATTTGTGAAAGCACGGAGCATGTGACATGTGCTTCTAAGGTCTGGTGCACCAGTGTGCTTTGCGTGTTTTCAGAGGGAAGGAAGAGTTTTTTCAAGTCTTGGTGCATCGGTGCAATGGATTGGTGCGATGGAATGTGAAGAAATGTGCTTTCATGCAAAGACTTGCCAGGGTGGCGCAGTAGCGTGCCGCACTTGGAAGCAGCGAACCGTTACTCTGTTTTTTTTTCCAAGCTTGATTGAAATCGCCAAACCCTCGTTCATATCTCAGAGACTTGTTAGCCATTTGGCAATGTGGTGCCTTTGCAGGTATGCATCAATGCCTCCCCAAGCACCCTGCGGCTCTGGCTGCTTCACGCAAACTCAGAGATATGCTTCAGCAGGTCCTGCAGTCCAGGACTCAGCGCTCAGTGGACCGGACCACTTTTTCTGATGGCCACAAGGTGTCCCACTATTAAGCACCTAAAAGGGCCAAATATGTGGGCCCTGGCCATGGTTTGGGGATGAGGGATGAGATTATTTGGACACGCAATGGAACTTTCCCGAGGTCGGTGGGGATTTGTTCAGCAAAATGGACAAAGACGGCAGCGGAGCAATTTCACGTGAGGAGTTTGCACAGGCGCCGTGACGCCGTGGAGTGTTTGGATGCTGCTGAATGTCATATCAAACCACAGCCGCAAGGCCCAGCAAATGGGCATGGCACCCTCCATGAGTGCTGCCAATCCATATGCCACGATGCCGGGACTTCAGAGCAGATTTTGAGGTATTTGGGAACCAGAATAGCTTACTCATGAACATGTTTGTGCTTTTTCGGACTGAGGGCTGGCCCGGGTGTACCAGCCTTCCTTGCACGCTTGGCATCAAACGAAGCCAAAGCTTGATTCTTGCACCAGAAGCCCAGATTAGTTGCATGTTTGGAGTCTCCAGGTAACTGCATCGCCAACAGGACCCCCACAGAGCGTGCAGCTGGCATGTTTGTGAACTGGTCGGCAAATCTGTGATGTGATGTTTCATATTTTTTTATATGTTTTGTTGGAAAAACAGGGAGTCAGACCAAGAACATCTTTGAAGAGAAAGGTTGGTAAGTTCCTTATCTCTATTATTGGTTACTGTGTATAATATATCATGATCCCCATAGTTTTGACCTAGTTCACATCAGTTGAACTTGGAAGGCATTAACTTTGAGGTTGTGACTCATTGTACAGCTGAATTCTAAGCCACTTAGTGTAACTCCCGAACTTCACCAATCAACCGAGGTATTTTTAATCGCTCGGATTCAATGCTGTGACAGGTTTCGTTGGGTTCCATGGCACTGGGTGCTGGATTTGGTACTGTTCCTCCACAGGCGCGACTGGTTGGAACATGGAACGTGGGCAGCTGCCATGCTGTAGTGACACTGTAGTGATGACGTAGTGCAGCAGTGGCCAACCATGGGGTAATGATGGTTGTTGTGTACTTAGCTTAGTGCCAAAATACAGTTTGAAAAGGGATTTGTCATGATTTATCCGCTTTTTGATGGAGCGTCCAAGGTATTTGAACACAGGTTTCGGCTGCGGCTACTGGTATGATTGCATTGTTTGAAACCGCTACGGCTGTCAGGGCAGCCCGGTGATGTATGGCAGCGGCGTAGTGCAAAGCCAGGCTCAAACTTTACAGCAGCGGAGAGATGGGGTTGCCTCCAAATTTGGAGTACCCAAATTCCATGATTTTACATCATTTTTCCAACTAAAGTTGCCAGTTTTGAGACAAACCATGTGGGTTCATGTCCTTGAATGTGTAAAGTTGCCATCCATGCAATGGACTTGTCTCCGCGCATTTGAGTTGGGGGATGATCGAACTCATTTTGATCTGGTATTGTGCAAGGTCGCTGGTGGAGATCTGTTCAGCAAAATGGACAAAGATGGCAGTGGAGCCATTTCACGCGAGGAGTTTGCACAGGCCCGGTTGTGTGTTTGCATGCTGTCTGACATTTTTCAGACATTTAGTCAAGACTTGCAAGCACCAGTCCAGACTCGGCCACAAGGCCCAGCAAGTGGGCATTGCCACGATGTCCGGACCTTAGATTCAAGCGAATTTGGAGATCGGAGACCCGTCAGATTTGGACTAAGGTCTAGCCCTGGTGCAGCAGCCTTCCCTCCTTGCTTCCAGATTGGTTGCACAGATGACATGGAACGTAGAAACCACAGTTGTCCTTTCAACTTGTGCCTAAGCTCAGTGAGCTTCCTTCCATTCCACCGTAATTTTGCCAGATTTCATCGCACCTCCAATAGGCTTCCATTTTTCCATATTTTTTCCTGTGCCAGGGGCCGCTTTATGGACCTCCACAGAGCGACAGACTGGCATGTTTAAGAGCTCCTGAAGACTGCCTTTAATAGCTTTAATGGGAATGATGGGAATGGGAATGGGACAGGTCTCTATGGGTTCCATGGTGATGGGAGCCGGCTTTGGCAGCACTCCTCAGGCTGGGAATATGAATATGTTCTCTTAGCCATCCAGAGTTGGAAAGATTTCATGGCTGTTTGACCTGTCCTAAGACTTTGGCTTGTGGCCAGGGTTGCGCTGTGGCGTGCGCCTTGTGATTCGCAAAATCAAGTAGTTGGACAGCTGCATAAATCACCCAAATCTCATGGTTAAAACAGGTACGGAGGCGCCGCAACGCCTCCCCAAGCACCATCATCTGCTAGCTGCATCCAAAGCCAAAGATATCCTGCTGGAAAACCCAGAGTTCTATGAACAACATAAATTGTTGAGGAAACTGTTGGAAACCATTGGAAACCATGGAAACCTGTGCCATTGCTTTCCATTTTGAATGGTTTCCAACGGTTTCCAACGGTTTCCTGAGAGTTTCCTTTAAACTTCAAGCTGGAAGCCAGCGGAAACCTATGCCTCTGCCCATTGCATTGAGTGAAGCCGTAAAGCACTCAGTTCCTAAGGGGCAAGTCGGCGTTGTGCAGTCAATGGGTGCCATGAACCCCTACGCCACAATGCGGCAGCCTCGAGGAGAGGGTACCAGAGGCAAGTTGCGCATTCGTGAAAGCATGGATGTGACATGTGCTTCTAAGGTCTGGTGCACCAGTGTGCTTTGCGTGTTTTCAGAGGGAAGGAAGAGTTTTTTCAAGTCTTGGTGCATCGGTGCAATGGATTGGTGCGATGGAATGTGAAGAAATGTGCTTTCATGCAAAGACTTGCCAGGGTGGCGCAGTAGCGTGCCGCACTTGGAAGCAGCGAACCGTTACTCTGTTTTTTTTTTTCCACGCTTGATTGAAATCGCCAAACCCTCGTTCATATCTCAGAGACTTGTTAGCCATTTGGCAATGTGGTGCCTTTGCAGGTATGCATCAATGCCTCCCCAAGCACCCTGCGGCTCTGGCTGCTTCACGCAAACTCAGAGATATGCTTCAGCAGGTCCTGCAGTCCAGGGCTTAGCTTCCTGGTTGCTGGCGATGGATGTGCATCACAATTGGTATATGGCGAATAACCACGGTTTAGATGTTTATAATTTATATACGTGTATATATATATATTCACTTACAAACCAGTTTTAGATGGGATCTTCCCCAGCTATATCAAGTTATATCGAGTTATATCAAGTTACATCATAGATTCAGTATCTGTTGGCTTTCCAATCGCTGGGGATTCCCATGTCCCCTTTGGAACAGGCCTCAGGAGACCTGTTCAGCCGACTGGATCGAGACGGCAGCGGAGTCATCTCGCGGGAGGAGTTTGAGCAGGCGGCCATAGCAACAGCTCTGTTGGGATGGGATGATGGGATGGGTATGGATCAATACCTATGAAAATACCATTTTTAGGGGGATGAACATCCATAAATCCCAGCTATTTTGATGTTCACTAGGGGGATAGGGTTTTGACCCATCCCCGGATAGGAAACTGGGGATCCCACCTGTGTGAAAATTCGGAGATTTGGAGAAAATTCATGATGGTTCCGTTGCTCAATGGTTCGCCCCATGTTGACGAACTGGGGCTTTCCAAAAACCGGATCGACATTGAAACTGGTTACTGTAATCTCTTGCAGTTGGCTGTGCTGTTCTTTTGATGCATCAAGATTCAGTGGCTGAAGTGCAAGGGTCATTTGCACACTTCTCGGCAGCCACCCGCTGCTCAAGCGTTGACAACCGGAAAGCACAAGCATGAACAGACATAGGCAAAACCCATGCTTTGTAAATGCACATAGATGGCTGCAGATGCAGAAGACTGTCAAAGTATATGTGTAAATCTACAAATCTACATTCTAACAACCTGCAGATATGGCTTTGCCTGGCTATTCTTAGGTTTCATTGATGCTGGCATTTACAGGGCCTTTTCTGTGGGCGAAAGCTGTGTTCTTGCTCTAGACCAGGGATAGAATACTCCACCCATGAATGGCACTGGTGCTTTATGGCATTGGGTCTACCACGTTGGAATTTCAAGCAAGACCAAAGGGAAGATACACAAGACCATTGGGTCTATCCTTTCCACTTTTGCCCTGGTATCAACTCTTTGCTTGGCCCTTGGACCATGTGTCTCGGCGCAGGGCACGCATCAGATTCCCAAGTGTCGTACCAGTATCCAAACATCCACTTAGATCGCAACAAAATCACAGACTTGCGGAAACATAGAGAAAAATATGATTGTGGAGACAAGTCTAAGACCCATTGTGATCCTTTTGTGATTTCGATTTCGCCTCCATTCCGGTATCCCGTTGGTATCCCGCAACAGAAACCAAGGAAGAGGCCTGGACCGTCCTTGCCTGTGGTGCTGGGAAGTTCCAGTAAGTGGCGTCGGAGCGTTTTCAAGTGTCTGGATGGAGATGGAACGGCTTGTGGGATGTTTTTATCACCAAGATGTGGGGATCGTTTTACCAACCAAGACGGTATGTGTCTGTTGGATTCTCCTTCAGAAGGCAGTGGTTCATCAAGAAAATGGGGCTTTGATCGGTAAACATAGGGGCTTTTCGGAGCAAAGCATAAAGGAAAACCACCAAGAAACAGGGACATGATCCTCCAACTGGGATGCCTTACCTAAAAACGACCCCAAAATCTGCGGGTCTCAAATTTTGATCTTGTGGCTATGCCTCCACTTTTCTGTTATCCCCCTGACCTTTCCCCTTGGATCTTTCATGATTTTTGGCTCTCAGCCAAGGCAAGAGTTCCCTGAGTTTGAGGGCGACTGCATGTCTCCAGACATTGATGAAAAGGCCGGCTTCATGAGATGATCGTTTGGTAAACATTGGCATTTTCAAAGTCCCCAATTTTTTCGCAAGTTTTACCATTTTTATCAATTTTTTAGCAGCTGAGGTACGTCCATTGCCAGCTGAGTTTACTGGTATCAGCTGACTGCCCAGGCCATCCGTGCAGAAAGGCCTGAGGACATGTGCTTAGCCATCGCCCGTGCCAAGGCGGGCCATTGGAACCAGAGAGTTTCACCGGGTTTTGGCATCATCTTTAGCAGCAAACCATACCATGGGTACAATTTTTTGGCCCGTCGCCAGAAAGAGACTAGATTGAGCATGGAGAAGTTTGATTGCTGGTGATTTCGTGGTGTTTCTAGGGGGACTTTCACATCGCAACAGCCCCTGCAAGTTGTGCCAATGCCACAACCACAGATCCAAGGGAAATTGCAGCAGGCAGATGCGCTGGTGCCCAAAGTGGCCAAAGATGCGCTTCTGGTATGTATGGATCAGGCCGATTGGTGGTGACTGGGGTGCTTCTGCATCAGTTTTTTTTCGTTCAAGCCCTGGAAAAGGTGACGGTGTGCGATGGTGGTGTCCGAGAAAAGCCGGAAAGTGAGAAAGAGGCAGGGCTGCAGGAACTTTTACTGATCTTTTTTAAAGGGAAGGGGCTTGTTTTCCATTTAGTGGTTCCGTTTATGACATTTTCTCACTATGGAGGAGTTGCCATGGCAGGCCAGGGATTTCCTGGAGTCGTACCGGCAAGGGAAACCTGCCACCTTCATGAATGGCATGGTGGTGCACAATACCGCAACTGGAAGGCGAGCTTGGCTTCTCTTCTTTACTTCAAAGACATTGTTTGCTTGTGTCATATTTTTTCTCTGAATTTTCAACATATCGATATTTTCACCATACTATGAATATACTATGGCACTATGGATATGATGTGGCTGGAAAAAATGGGTCATACTCTGGACATCTCTGGACCATCAAGAAAAAAAGACCAGTCACTGAGTTGCGAGTCGCTCTGGACCGCTCCGAGGCGGGTCTCATCCATCAACTCGTCAAAGGTTCAGTGGAAGGAATTTCCAGACGAGGTGAGACTAGCAGTACTTGGGTGCAGTTGGGGTTAGTAGTGGGATTTAGTGGGTATAACATGGTATAACTGTATAACTCTGGGATTTTAACCTCCATAAGTCGGGATATGACCCCATGACCCGATCTACAAGGCCCTGCAACTTTGGTAAAATAAATAAGCCACCGTTTTTTGTGGAACTGCACCCCGACGTAGCAGTCACTAGTTTTCCTGGGAAAGGTCATTGATAGCCTCGTGAAGCAGGGCGAGATCTTCACATGCTCCGGGGGTGTGACAGTGATGGACTTAGAATGACTTAGAAAAAAAACTGCAGATTTCTGGGTGATGGCTTCATCAAAAGTGCCACCTTGTCATTTTTTGGGTAGTCTTGGCAAAAGTGACACTGCTTGATTCCTATCAATGAAATTCAATGAATATCACAAAGATGAAGAACACCAGAAAAACAACTGATGTGTTGAGGCTCAGATGCTGTGGATCTGAATGGTTCTGTTTTTCATTGTTTTTCTGTATTCAGCGGCAATGGACCCAGGAAGAGACATTTCGGTAGTGGATGCCCCTGGCGAAGAATAACATTTCAGAATGGTATGATGATCGTGGAGTGTAGTCAGGGGATGATCAGCCACTTCAAAAACACACTCCACTGACATGCAGCGAGGTGGAAGATGAGAATCTCCAGAAATACAGGCAAAGCTTGGAGGCGGAACAACCTTTCCATAGGCACAAAATGGACTCTTCAAGAGAAAAACAACATCATAGTCCTTCCACTTGAAATTTTGGCATGGTGTAGCCTCCCGCAATCAAGCATGGCTGGAAAATCACACATCAGATGATCTTCCCATTAAAACATATGTAGGTTTCCTAAAATAGGGGTACCCCAGGATCTTGGTGAGGATTTCACGCGTAGCTGCTTGTCTCTACCGCTGTCACACAGCACTAAAGTCAAAGGCAAAAAAACAAATCCATTTTGGGGAGAAAAGCCATCTTAAAACCTCCATTTTGATCCGAGATTGGCCAGGGCACTTTGGATTCTGTACAAGGTCTTCCGGTGAAGTCTTTGTCCATGCTCTTGTCCCGCGCGGAAGCTCCGGTGCCAAGCTGAGTGACAACAAAAACGGCTTCACGGCCTCAGAGTTTGTGACCTGATGTTATGATCATTGATCATTCATCATCGATATATTTACATGTTGTAATGTTTCTGATGATGATCAGGATGATCATGATGATGATGATGATGATGATTATGATCTGCGATAATGATGACTGATGATAGTCGATCAATGTTGATCATTGGATCATTATTGACGATCATTATGATGAAAATGAGGTGCTTTCTGATCGGTTTTCACAGTAGCAAGAAAGAACGCACAGTACATATTTGCATTCCTGTGTCTACAGGCAGTGACGCATGTGGTTTTCGATATGGACGGTTTGCTGCTGGACACTGAAAGCTCCTTGGATCTTCTTGGCTTGGAGTGTAGTTGTCGCCATCATAACTATTTTTACTCTAACATGTGAGTAGGTTGGTTGGGTAGGGTCTATATGTGATTTGAAAAGATGGGTTGGACTGCTGGATGACTTATGCCAATTTTGGCTCAAGTCATCCAGGCAGCCATCCAATCTTCTCATGGCTTTGGAGCCGGTGGACTGGCCTGCCTGGAAGACAGCGGCCCGCGACTTCCTCCAGGTGCACCCGTCCGTGGAGGTCCGGGACCTTTCGCGGGCGGAGCGGCTGGTGGTGGCAGGGGCCAAACAGGCCTGGGCCATTTGCCACCATAAGGCCGCGGCTGATCTTCGAGCCCTGGGTGGCCAGCCGTGTGATTTGTGCGGCTGCTGGACCTGCTGCTTTTGCGAGGCCTGTGGCAGGCCGCCGCGCGCCGTGTGCACAGAGTGTGACCGGGATCACCTCCTGTGCACCGGTTGCCGCCAGAAGGGGCTGCTCTTCAACGAAGTGGCTCGCAAGGGTGCTGAGGAGGTGCTGGAAGTCTCGGGCTACCACGATGAAGCGGGTCGCTTTGTCACCCTCGACCCGCCGGTCAGGATGGCAACAGCAGCCATCCCAAGGCAGTCGGATGGCTCCTTCGACACCGACGAGCTCATGCGCCTCATTGCCCGCAGCCGGAGGGTTGACACCGCAGCTGGACCTCGTGCTGCATGATGTCCCCAACGACATCCACAAGGCCGTGATGGAGCTGGGCATCCAATCGGTGGGGGACTTCCGCTATATGTGGTCCTCATCCCAGGATTGCTACCGTGAGCTCGAGCGGAAGGCTGGCCGGGCACTTCAAGGGCATGAGGCGATGGCCATTGCCGTGGCTTGGACCAACGCGAGACGGGCCAGCCTGAAGCAGATCGAGGCCCTTGGCGTGGAGGTGGCTCAGGTCCGGAACTCGAGTGTGGGCGTCCCCACTCGCAGGGCCGAGACCCCGGTGCAGAGCCAGCCAAGCGAGGCATCTGCCAAGATGAGGCGCCTGGTTCCATCAGGGGTACCAGCAGACAGAGCCCCCATCTTAATGGCTGCTGCGGCCTCCGACGCCCATGCCAAAGAGGACGCCACCAAGTTGTCGAAGTTGGACCAGCTCTTCCACCTCGTCCTTGACAACGTCTTGAACTTGGAGGAGCTGGGAGTTACTGGAGCCCAGTTGCAAGACCCCCTGGAGTTGCAGCGCTTCAAGGACACCACCATGGCGGGGGCTTCGAGGTTGTCTTCTCAGAGACTGGGGGCGCTGGCTTCGGCGCTACGTCGCTGGCTTCGTTTCTGTGCAGCCCGTGAAGTCAACCACCGACAGCCGACTCCTTTGCTCTTAGCTGATTTCCTCCGGGAGGTATCAGCTGGGGGCCCTACGGCAGCGGCCAGTATGCATGCCAGCCTGAAGTGGTATGCGGCCACCTTCGGCGCCCAGTTCCCGATGGATCACTGGGCCACCAAGCATTTCCGCTTCCATGCGGTGCACCATACAGGTCGCCAAGCACCGGAGCTTGAGCCTTGGGAGTTCGTGAACCTTCTCCTGCTGATGAAGAAGTCCCAAGGGACTGACAGGGTGCTGGTGGCCCAGATGTTGATGGCCGCCTTGGGGTGCATTCGGTTTGAACACCTCCAGCGGTCCAAGTTTGTCATGACCCATGGACCCAGCTTGGAGTTTCAGTGCGCCCAAGGAAAAGCAAGAAAGAAGGGAGCCCGACCTGGCTACAGTTGGGGCCTGCCGCACGCCACTCTGGACGGTCAGGGAGTCACGCAGACCCTCTTGGACTTCTACGCCAACGAGTTCCCACAGTCGAGTGGCTTCTTGCTCCCTGCGGTGTCCCTGAACCCCGAAGAGTTCTGGGAAGTTACAGAACATACAGGGCTCATCGTGAACAAGCCCATGTCGCGAGGCCGCTTCCTCGAGCTCTTACGGGGCGCCCTCTACCAGATCGGGGTGGAGTTCACCAATGCACAGGCAGCGGGATTCAATCGGCTTCGTCGATTCATCCCGACAATTGCAAATATCCTCGAACTGCCGGACCTCGACCTGCAAGCAGTGGGAAACTGGACCGAGATCCCAGCTGGAGGTGGCCGGGACCCCTCAGCTGGGAAAGCCAGGGCCCGGATGCCCATGGGGGTCCACTATGCAGGATCCAAGCTCCTCAGGTCCCTGCAGGTCAAGCAGCGCTGCGTGAACCGCTTCATGAACCTCTTCCACAAGAAGCGCAGGGAGCTCGCGCTGACAGAGGAAGGCATGCTTTGCCGGGATGCTTGGTTGTGGCCTGAGTTTGCGGCGGCGCACAAGCTGATCCCTGAAGACTTGAGTGTCTTTGAAGCGGAGGCCAAAGAGGCCATTGAAGTGGCTCCTGGAGCCCTGCCGGTGGAGGAGGAAGTACCGGCCGGGTCCGGACTTCCTTCGGCCGAGCAATCGTCCAGCTCATCGGAAGACCTTTCGAGCTCTGCCTCCGACGTTTCAGCCGAAGGAGAAGACCTTTGTGGCGTACCTGCTGATGAAGACGCGGCCGACGACCTCCCTTGGTTTGTCCAGGGTAAGAAGACCCACCTCGTGAGAGAGGAGATGGAAGGCCGCTTGACGCCCTGGTGCCGCGACTTCCCCTTCGTCCAGGAGCCTCTGAGCCGTGGCCGGGGCTGCGCGGGGACAAGCAGGGCCTCCTTTTGTGAGCGGTGCCTTAGCCGTATGCCTCGAGGGCTGTACCAGTCCCTGGCGGAGTATAACAGCTGGGCAATCTGACCCGGCCCATTGCAGAGAAAATGTACCGCGGCTGGCACTCCTTGAGTGCCGTGTCGTCGGTTACATGACCTGATGTCACATGTTTGCCACGACAGGTAGGTCCAGGTACCCCTTAGCTGGGTGTCACACGTCCTGTCTGGCATGTCACACGTTGGGAGGTTTTTGTAACTCTTGGAGTTTTGGTTCAAACCCCCCACGAGGTTTTTGCCCTTGGTGCCATGACCCGCATTGACGTGCTTCAGGATGACCGAGGTTTGGCTACTTGCTTTCGCGGTGCCAACCTTGAGCAAAGCTGGATCGACCACTACACCAAGTTCCACCAGATCGCCACGCTGGACGACTTCGTCTACATGATCCAGGCCTCAGACTGGGAGAAGTCCCTTGCTGACCACATCGACCAGGTCTCAGCATTGAAAGGGAACAGGATTGCCCTGGCCCGCTTCAAGAGTGCCTATGAGGCTGGCCATCAGGCCCTGAAGCACGCTGCTCAAGCAGCGCCCAAGTCAGAGGACTTGGATGAGGCGCTCCCTGACACGACCATCCAGCAGATGAATGTTGACTGGAGAAAAAGGTACACCCTGTCCTTCGACTCTGTCCTGGAACCGTCAGAGCAGCTGCGTTCTCGCGTCTACAGGGAGTTCCGGAAACAATCCATGACGGTGGTGGATATGAAGAAGGTGAAGTCCGTCCTGACCATCTCACAACCTCGCACCAGCGACTCCATCGCCCTTCCCGGGGGACTCCAGCTGCAGCTTGAGAAGGAGGTCTCCGTGAGCCTCCGCAGCGTCACGGAGTATTACTTCGCACTGCGAGTGTTAGCCCATGCTTGGGCTTGGGCAGGAAACTTCTTGGTTTCCCCATCGGCCCAGGGTGACAAGATCCTCTTCATGGATTTGTCCAGCGCCTTGCACTACTGCGACCGGGCCCTCAAGGACACCATGGAGTACGGACACGGCAGTCTTTTGTGGTTACAACGCAACGACCTTCTTACCCGGGGCAAAATGGCGACCTATATCCGCCGAGGCCAACCTGGCCAATGGGCCTTGGACAATGCCCTCCGTGACACCCACTTGGAGTGGCGTTCTCCGGCTATTCAGCCTTTGGTGGAGACCATTGAGACTGGTGCCAGCAAGCGCCCTGCTGAACCGGACCCCCCTTGCGGAACGAAAGCGGCAGATCAAGGGCGATTCCTTCAAGACCGTCAGCCAAATCAAAGGAGGCCAGAAGATTTGCAAGCCTTGGAACGATGGACGAGGGTGCAAGGAGGCCAAATGTACCAACCTCCATTGCTGTGATGTCAGGCTTGAGGAAGGTGGACCGTGCCTCAGCAAGAAGCACACCCGCCTGGAGCACTACTCCGCCTAGGGACAACACCCCCTAGGGACCGTGTCCTGGGGGGGCCCAATCGTGGCACCAGCTGCCGAGTTCCCTGCTCCACCACGGCAGGTTGCCCTGCCCCAGCCCCCTCCGCCAAGGGCCAGGTCACAGGACCCGCCACACCTGCGTCAGGTGTTGGTGCGCCATGGAGAGGACGACCCGACTGAAGGCGATTTGGCGTCGAGACTTCGAGCGTCCAAGCCAGTGACCTGGCGAGGCAGGGGCGATTTGGCTCAGGTTCCATGGGCTCCCACGGTCCGAGGTACATGGTTGGTGCTGGACCTCTGGGCGGGCTTCTCCGGATTGTGCATCGCCCTCCTCCAAATGGGTTTACACTTTTATGGAGTGGCAGCCGAGTGCGATGAAATCGCCTGCCAGGTGGCAGGCACCAACATGCCCAACTTGGTCCACGTGCCGCTTGTAGAACACCTGGCAGCTGCTCACTTTGTACCTTTGTTGAGGCGGAGGACGTTCCGTGGGGTCATCATGGGCGGCGGTAGCCCTTGCCAGGGCAACTCTTCCCTGAATATGAGTCGTCGAGGGCTTGCCGACCCCCGCAGCCAACAACCGCTGGAACTTCAGCGACTTCGCCATGAGTTCTCCCAGCTGCCTGAGATGCAGGGCGTTGAGTTGATTGTCTTCTTGGAAAATGTGGGCAGTATGCCGCAACCAGTGCGGGACAGCTACAACGAGTGGCTCCAGGCTGAACCCATCATGATCGATGCAGCTGCCTGTGGATGGGTGCGCCGCCATCGCCTCTACTGGTTGGCGGGCCGCGCTGGTGCAGCGACTCCTTCACTGACCGCACCCCCCGGTTGGGACTGGGTGCCCGCCGAGGGGAGCGTCCCTGAGCTGCGTTACAGTGGCGACAAACCCTTGCCCAACAAGTGTTTCTTTAGCCACGGGTTCCAGCCTATGGTGAATGCCAAAGAGGTGATCGCTCAGGGGGGCCGTGGGGCAATGCATCCATTCACCAGGGAGTTTTACCACCCAGCCGATCGGACGGCCGGCTCCTCCGCTGCGGCCGTGGAGAGGTTCATGGAAGACAATAGACGCTTCCCTCCCTCCGCATACGAAGAAGCGTCCTTGGTGTGGCGCGACTCTGAGTGGCGACAGCCGACCCCACATGAACGTGCCCAACTCATGGGGCTGCCCCCTGAAAGTTTTGACTGTGTGCCGGGTGACCCAGCCTTGCGGCGCCAACGCCAGAACAGCTTGATCGGCAATGGGTTCCATTTGTTCTCCGTCATGGCCGTGTTCTGCCTGCTGCCCCACATCCTGGAGGCCAAGATCCAGCACCCCATGGTGGACGTGGAAGAGTTTGGCCTCAAGTCCCGACTCCTGGCTGGAGGATGCTGACGAGGTGGTCGAGACCCTGGTTCACTCCAAGCCACCCCGCCATGCCGACGACATCCTGGAACAGACGCTTGCAGAACAAGCCAAGGGCTTCTGCTCCCCGCTGCTTTCACGATCAGCCGTTGATGCTCTTTTTGGGCGGGGCAAATGGCGACCCCTGGAGCGGTTCCAAATTGTGCAGGCTGACAACAAGCGGCGTATGATCGACAACGCCCGTCGCACCCAGCATAACAGCCATACCTCCATGTCTGAGACAATTTTTACGGTCAGCATTGACTTTGTTGCTGCGGTTGCGGCCTCCATTGCCCGACGTGTTGGATCTGACCACGCAGCCCCTGGCGCTGAGAATTCTTGGCTACGGCTCCGTATCGGAACCGACGACCTCCCTGATGCCTACCGAGGTCTTCCAGTCCTTCCAGAGCATCAACGATTCTCTGTGGTGGCCATTTTCGTGCCCAACACCGGATGGCGGTTCACACTGCTCTGGGGCTTAGCTTTTGGTCTTGAAAGCGCCGTTGTTGCCTTCAACCGCTTCCCCCAGCTGGGCATTGCCATCGCTAGGCGTTGTACCCTTGCCCTTACTGCCGCCTACTTTGATGATGAGCTGGTAGTCGAGGCCATCGCAGATGCTGACGTTTCCCAAACAGGCTTACGTTTGACTTTCAAGCTGATGGGAGCCCCTCCGCAACCTGAGAAAGGGTTTGTCCCTGCGGCTAACCGGCACTACCTCGGGACGTCCCTCCATACGGGTGACTTCATGTCTCTTGGGTTTGTCCGGGTACAACCCAAGTACTCGACTTTGGCCAAAGTCAATGCCAAACTGGAGTCCATCCTCACCGAGGGCACCCTCAACAGAGATGATGCTGGCAAACTTCGGGGCGACATCAATTGGCTTTTCACTATGTGCATGGGCCACCTTGGGAAGATTGCTGGCCCGGCTTTGACCAACCATCAACAAAGTGATGTTGTTTCATTGACGCCCGTTGAACGGCTTCAGCTTCAGGCCCTCCATGCTGCAGTGCGTGATTTTCAGCCCCGAGATATCCCTGTCCTCCAGGACTCTGAGCCGTTGATTCGCATCTACTCCGATGCCTCCTTCGAGCTCGACGTGCTGCGTTTAGGCTGGGTCATCTTTCCCAGCCATGGCCTTCCCTTGGGTGGTACGACGGTCGTCCCCCAATGGGTCATTCAAACGTGGCAACAACGCCAGCAGCAGATTTATCCAGGAGAGACTCTAGCAGCTGTCATCGTGCCTCTCCTTGAAGCCGACGCCTTGCGTTCCAAGTCCGCCATTTGGTTCATCGATAATGAAGCCGCTGCCGCAGCATTGATCAGAGCTTCCACGTCTGAATCAGACGTATTGACCATGGTGCAACAAGCACACATTCAATTTTCCCGTTTACAGGCTAGGATCTGGTTTGAATGGATAGACACCGAGTCTAATCCAGCCGACGGCCTTAGCCGTGACGGTGTCCATGATGCGTGGACTTTGTCCCAGCAGTGGACTATTCGCGAGTTCCCGTTCCCATCTTTGCTGGGTCCAGGTGAACTTTTAGAATTTCTAGCTAAGCCGATAGGTGATGCTAACAGTGGGTGAATTACTTAGCTTCGACAGTGGGTTTGGTTTGTGTCTAAAGATTCTTTGACACATAACATCTCAGGCTCTCAGGTGTGTTTGGAATATCTGTGATTTCCAACCATCCTGTTCATACCCATTGTTATTTAATAACAATGTCCCATATTAGCATCTACAGCGGCGTTAGCATAATCACTACTTTTGGATAGCGCAGGAAAAGATAGCGGCCTCAGCTTCCAGAGTGTCAGTCTGTCCCCTCCGATCTTTTCTTACTCTAACATGTGAGTAGGTTGGTTGGGTAGGGTCTATATGTGATTTGAAAAGATGGGTTGGACTGCTGGATGACTTATGCCAATTTTGGCTCAAGTCATCCAGGCAGCCATCCAATCTTCTCATCCCTCCCTCCTCTCCCTGATCCCCCCTGCGGGGTGATGGGGGGGTGGGCTACGCAGGGCTTCCAACCCCCCTTGTTCCCCTTCCTTTTGGTCAGGGTTGGGTTTGGTTTGTGTCTAAAGATTCTTTGACACATAACATCTCAGGTGTGTTTGGAATATCTGTGATTTCCAACCATCCTGTTCATACCCATTGTTATTTAATAACAATGTCCCATATTAGCATCTACAGCGGCGTTAGCATAATCACTACTTTTGGATAGCGCAGGAAAAGATAGCGGCCTCAGCTTCCAGAGTGTCAGTCTGTCCCCTCCGATCTTTTCACTCAATATGATGATGAGCCTTTTTCCTTGTGTCGAGGTGCATACTCAGTTGCGCAACAAGCTATTTTGGACAAGTGGAACAGGCAAGTGATTCAGTCGTAGCTGTTGGGAGTCTATGGCTCTTATGGCTCACAGTGGTTGCGAGGAAGTTCACTTGGGACCTCAAAGGCAAAATGATGGGAAAGAAGGTGGGTTTGGGCAGTTGCAACAGACATGTGCCAAAGCACGCACTGTGGTTGTGTGGTTGCAATATGTTGTGGACCTGTGCAGTCCGTTGCCACAGTGTGGCTCAAGATGCTTGGTGAAAATTCTGTTTCTCACCCTGACAACAAGCATCACAGACAATTGCCATGTCTAAAGTCTGATTGTAGGTTCTGACTTGAACACCAAAATGGATTAAAGAAGAAACGCAACAAGACCAACCCAAACCGATCCCAATCGTGCATATTCGTGCATATTTTCACAACACGACCTGGACAGATTTGCCGTAGATTGATCTGCCGTTTCCAGCAGCGCTGCTGGGTTTTAACCGCAGGCCAGGGGAATCATTTTCCTCAACGTCGCCAGAGTCAGCCAACAAAATGAGTGCTTGGATGTTGAATGACACCAGAGATAACAGCGCCATTTGGAACTGGGAATGGCTTACAGTAAACATGACAGTATATATATATATACAGTACTATGTATATGACATAATTTGTACAGACTGTATATATATATATATATATATATACACACATTTAATCTTAGTATATACATGACCCAAAGTCTTGATGGCTTGGTGTCGCCCAAAGGGTGCTTCCACCATGAGCACACCAGCCCTGTGAGGCCATGAGCATCAGCACCTTGGATTTCGCCACAGAAACCATGGGTTTTTCGAGGGAATTGACCCATATGACCCATATGTGGGACCATAAATATAGGTTGTCATTGTTTAGTAACGGGGGAAGAGATTATGGATGATGTTCCCACTCAAAGCTTGATTTTAAATGGGAATTTCCCAGCCACTCCAGGTATAGACGCTTTAGCGAATCTGGACACGCAGGGCCAGGCATGTGTCACGTTGATTTCTTCTTGAGATCCCAAGGTGGTGCCCCGCGATGATAAGTTGGTTAAAAAGCCCAGCCAACTATGGATATATGGGGATGGGTCAAAACCCTGGTACCTAGTGAACCCCAAAATAGCTGGTAAATGGATGTTCATCCCATTAAAAATGGTATTTTCATAGGTATTGATCCATACCCATATCTACCCAGCCAACTCTAGTATTTGAATTATAAACCAACTTTGGCGATCGGCCACCACCTTGTGGTTGATCATCTCGGCACTGCAAAGTGCTTTGGTCCTGTATTGAGTGACTTGATATAGCTATATTGCAGCTATATCTACTTGTAAGTTGAATGGAGTGCAACTTTCCGGGATAGAAGTACCATGCAGATCAGAAACGAGAGGTATCCAAAGCTACCTTCTCAGATCCAGGATCTTTGACATATCGATACACATCGCTTCGCAAGCGCCATGCAGCTATCCCTGGTAGCAGGTGCAGGTGGCACTGCTTCTCCTGGTGCCTATACTGGCGGTGGTCTTCATGCTAAGACCAAGGTGGGGTGAGAAACTGCCATCACCACGTCACCTGCCTTGGGGGTTTTGATGATTGACAGGTCGCTTCCAGGAAATCTGCGGCAGAAAGGCACTTTTGAACACGAGGACCACGTTGTGTTTTTCAGTGAGTTGCTGGAGCTGAAGAAACAAAATGGAAACAGATGCCGCGAAACAGATGCCAGGATCCAGCAAACTCAGCCTCAGTGGCTGAGCGCCGGCGCGACTTTTGCAGAATTGTCGCGACAAAGCGAGTAAGGGCCTTGGATGTTCACATGCAGAAACGAATTGAACCGAATTGAGATGGATCATAAGGCATCCGCGCCAACAAAGACAGACATGGGAATGGGTCAAAGTTAAAGGCCTTGGAAGAAACAGACAGCCACAGATGAAAGTCTGTCATCGGTTAGAATGACTTAGCCAATTTCTGAGTTTCCAATGACTTGGCCGCATTGGTTTGGATCCCATTTGTATACACCATAGAATTCCATAGAAGCCGAATGATTCGAATGGTCAGGGTGCATCAATGCATCCTCCTGGGATGGTTGTTAGGTAGCGATAGAACATATCCCACTAAGATACGGTTAAACTGTGTTGAAAAACACCCATTATATAATGCGATACAGGAGTTATGGATGGCAACTATGGATTACCATATGGGTTTCTCTGAAAACCTCCAAAATCCCATAAAAAAATGGTAAAATGGGGGTTTCAGGGCGTGTATGTTGGTATGTTGCTTGTTATGATTTTGTGTTGGGGTTCAATGTTTCATCCTTGGTTTTGATGATTTTTCAGGTGGGGTTTTGGGGGTCATTTTGATGCTAAAGTGATGTGTCAATGTTTGGTTCAGATGAGGGTAGGATTTGTTTAGGCTGTTGGGGTTTGTGTTTTGGTTCAGATGAGGGAGATACTGTGGATAGTGTACTTGTGGTTGTCGTTTTTTATTGTCAAGGTATGTCTTGTCTTTTTTTGGGTATGATTTTATTGTGTTTCCTTATCATCAGTTTCAAGACAGAACATTCAACTTGATATCTTTCAAAAGGTTCCATGTCTTTCAACATCTTTCATTTTTTATTCTCTCATTCTCGTCTTTTTTGGTGGCGTTTTTTCTTGGTTGTGTTTTGATTTGAACGTCTTTCGCTTCGCCTCATTTTTTGCGGACTTCTTCATGGACTTTCTGGATTTCGTCGGGGGCGCCCAGATGAGATGTGCGCGCTGTTTCGTTTGCATGGAAGCATCACTTTTGAGGACATATTGCGTTTCTTGAGGCACTATGTACACTCTATGTACACATTGTGGCATTACACTACACCCAGAGATGTTGATTGCTTTCTCCCGCAGCAGACAGGCTCACAAATGCTCACAAGATAAGATGAGTTCTACTTGCGGCATGTGTTGCACTATGAACAAGTCAACGCATCAAGAAATCGTAAAGTGCTTGAGCTCCAGCACAGTCCCAGTTCTGGAGATTTCCGCCATGGTATGTCGCGTTGCCTCATTGCCCGATGTTGTGGTTTTCGGCTTCTCATGTCAGGCCGACGAAACCACCGTTGCTTCTCAAACAACGCTCCAGAGAAGGAGCCGACCACAAAACAGCAGATTGGAAAGTGGTTGGTTGGTGGTGGTGGCTCGTTGGCCATCGTGACCTTTGGATGGGATATGTGGCGGCATCGTCAAGAACAAGAACGGCATCGTCAAGAACAGGAGCGAGTGAAGAATATCATTGTGAATGCCTCTTTCAAAGCACGTGAGCCACGTGTCAAGATTGAACGGAAGATAATCAAGGCGTCCAAGCACCACCTTTTTTTTTGTTGTGTTTGCCTGTGTGTTTCTTGACAGAAGGGATTTGTTATTGAGATGGTGTTATTCCATGTCATACTGGCATTTTGAATTTGATGCACTATGCTCACTATGCACTGTAGCAGGACGAACTGCACCAGTTGTTGGACTTGGACGACCTCCGCCCAATCCTCATCTGGGGGAATCATGAAGTGGGCAAGAGCACCATCCTTTGGAAAGTCTTGCAGGAGAAGCAGTGGAACAATGGAGTGCTCCACATCAAGCTCATGCAGAACAACGACTTGGCCAAGGACGCATTGAGGAGCAGGTTGAGAGTGATCCATGAAGAGGAGATGATGCGTGGCTTGAGAGATGCCAAACAAGAAATGGGACGGCAACCCATCATCATCCTTGAAGTTCCTCGTGGTGTCTTTAATCCAGATGTGATGAGCAGCGTCTCCGCCTTTGCAAAGTCATGGGGCTTTGATGACACGGTCGCCAAAGTGGTGGTGATGGTCAGTTCTGCAGTGTCAGCCATTGCTTTTGACGCAGACGGTCGTGAGCGCCGATTCTTCGTTCCACCACTGATGAGTGAAGAACTCTCGCAGAAGGAGGCCAGAATGAAGAGCTTCAGTTCATGTGGTAATTGTTCAGTCGCCTTCAGTTTTGTTGGTGCTACTTCTGGCATGGGTTGGGATGTTTGCAGATGGACGTCTCCTTGTCAGGTTGAGGAATTCCTACGTCATCATGGCGGTGAAGAGGCCTCCACGCACAAGAGCGACATGATTCAACTCACAGGTGGCAACATCGGTGTAATGGAGGACAAGGGTCATGAAACCATGGGACAACAACCCGAAACATCAACGAACCGTGAAACCTTGAAACTTGCCCACATCTCCTGCAGGACGTGGCGCAAAATGCCAAAGAGACATCGTGGGAAGAAGCAAAGTCCAAACGGCTTACGGTGCAAAGAAGTCAGGTCCGGAACTTCTTGGGCATTGACAACCAAGGTGGCTTTGGCCCAAAAGAGGTTAGGATGGCACGCACCTTGGCCAAGGCCGTGGCGCAGAGCTCCTTCGAGCAGTGTGTTGATGCTGAGAGGTTCAGGGAGCACTTCACGCCTGCGGACGTGGCGAGAGCGGTGCGGAACCGAAGCGCTCATTGCATCTATGTGGATGCGCGGGCAGAGGAGCGACGCTACTGCGCAGTGTCCCGGACAGTGCATGACCTTTTGAAGAAGGTCTGAAGGCGGAAGTGGCAGTGGCGTGTGAATGAGAGTGCTTTGTTCCTTGTAGGACCAGTAGGACTTTTGGATTGCAGGTCGGGTGCAACCCGTTATGCACTGAAGGTGCCATTCGTGATTCATGGATGGTGCAATCCGCATTGCGTCCAACCAGACTGGCAAAACACAGAAAGGTGATGATTTTTATTGGGGTTGCACCTACCCTTCAATCCGGGATGCATTCTATCTGCGCTGCACAATGCACGGGTGTGACAGACTGCACAGTGTTCCAAGACTGGATGAGCAAAAGTGAAATGAAATGGCAGAGATTGAAGATTGGTTAGTTTCGCAGTTGTTGGATTGGCACTCTCAAATGTAGCATTCTTCAGGCCCAGAAGTTTGGTGATGATATCAAACACTTTTCACTGCTTTACTGTATCCAATTGCATCCAATTGCCCTCTTCCACTTGCCGAATGCGTCCGCGCCAAGGTTGTGAAGGCATCAGGGACACCATCTATTAGAAGGTCAATCCCAGCATTTGTCATAATGCAAGATTTTGGAAACGGGTTCTATCAAAGCCTTGAAGC